GCGAGTGCTTTCGTAATACCCTCACATGTGCGAGAAGTCATTAGGACTCTTGCTGCGATTTGCGACCTTCCTATGTGAAGCTACGTTTTCTGCATTGGTTCACATCAAATCAAAGTCACGAAACAGGATGATGTTGAGTCAGACTTACGACTTCGATTTTCTTCCAGTGAGCCTGACGTCAGCAGCTTGGTTCACACCATGCAACACTATTTTTCACACAGATCGTGTACTGCGAGTGCCGGTTCATATCAATAACCTATGACGTATTCCAGGCAGATGCAAACATAGTACCCTTTTCTGGCTCTTGCTTATTTAGCGTGTTTTTTTTATGTGTGCTTTCTCGTTATCAATATTGTACTCAGTGGAAGTTCCTGAAGGGCCTCTGAGTCGGTGAGGGGGGTCCGCGACGGCCAGAAGTTTTGGATCCGCTGCTCTAGAATACCTCTGATTGGATGCATTCTGCTTTTTGGAGCATTTGTAAGACAGATAAAAAATGCCGAATGACAAAATGATATGATGCAGCGTAGAAAAAAAAAATATTGGAGTGGTGTAGTGGTTAGCAGACCTCCACGGTTATGAGGAAACCCAGAGCTCGAATCCTGGCTACTACAATATTCCTTTTCGACTGCTTGGTAATCTTTATTTCCACTTGATCAGTGCGGTTCAGTCCCACAAAAGAAGCCTTGTGTACCAGTGGTTCCCTTCTGGTAAATTGCTGCAAAAGAGCAGTTGCCAAGCACTTTCGATTGGAATATTTATAGATTTTAAAACATTAATTTCTGAGCAACTGTAGGTTGCTATAGAAGCACACCTCCAGTGGTTTCCCCTTTTGGGGAGGCAGAAAAAGGGTTTCCTTTCTCCATAATTGTTTTCGTAAATATGGCGGCGGAGTTTATTGTAACGCATCATACTTTGTGGTTCTAAAAGAAATTTCGCCGCCAGATTACAACGATATCAGGACTCTGGAGCTCCTGACATCGCTATGATTAGAACATAGCTAGAAATATTAAGAACTCCAGAGTTATGTACAACGGTGTGCGTGGCACGAGCATTATCGCATATAGTTTACAACACACCTTCTTGAAGCGAGTTCTTGTGCGCATTACAAGTCAAGGAGAACAGCAACCTAAAAAATTGGTTTAATGAAATGTCTAAAAAGTGCTATGGATACAAGAGGATTCGGGGAGAAGGAAAACGAATACAACCTCTAGTTAAAAAATAAAGGTGCACATTGCAATATATAACTGTTTAGAGAGAATTATAAAATACATACTCTATACAACATGTGTATTACATGTTCCCCTAACTATGCTAATAAAGGTTCTACATGATTATAAGCATACTTGCTAGCACTTTTGGTTTTGATAGCATTTCTGCGCGCCTATCGGCTTTTATATTTGTGTGTAGAGGAAAAGAAAGACGACAACATTCGATCTGCTAGATAATAAAAATGACGGTTTTGTTCACAGGAAGAATTCGAATAGAAAATTAAAATCTAGCCCTTCATTCATAACAGGTTCCGCTTATCGCTGCAACAGACAACGATAACGCCGGATCGCTCCATGAGCCATTTAATGCTCTCGCATTAAAACCGAAAATAAGAAATTCCATATGCACAGCAGCGCTCAAAATTTAGTAATATTACACAGGCTTTAGTAGTATTACAGTAGTAGTAGTAGTAGTAGTAGTATATTGTAAGTTAGTCTAGTTCTTTTAAAAAAGGTGACTTTCTCTTGACCTGTTTTCTAATTGCCCTACAATGCCGATAGTCGTACATTTTTGGGATTGGTAATACATTATATTTTACTAACAATTCATGTGTGTGAAAGGAAGAAGGAACATTTTCTACACCTCTTCAGGACCGTTTTTGCGGAACTTGAATTTTATGTATATGTTCTAGTGTTGTGGATGCCAAAACTAAATTATAGTAGTGAAGCCTGGATGAGAACAAACTGTTATAAATAAAAATCATAACATTTCGTAGGAGTATATGTCGATTACGACAGACAAGTCCAACTCTTTGAGACAGTCTTGCGACCGGAGGATCATTATGTGCATCCCACGACAAAGGTTTCTGGAAAACAACTCCAAGTATCTTAACTTGATATAGTGCAATAGGAGTCAAATTTAGTAATATTGGCTGATTTAGTACAACATTTTTGTTTCTGCTACAAAATAAGACGAACTGTGTTTTGTTTCTGTTTATTTTTAGGTTGTTTTGGCATTTCCGCTTTCTAATTTTGTAACGTTATGTTTGCTTCGTCGACTATTTCACTGCATTATTTTCCAGTTATAAATATGCTGGTATCGTCGGCGTAAATAATAAATTTAAAGTTTGGTACAACTGAATCAACGTCCTCTATGTACATATTGAAAAGGAACGGACCCAAAATACTGTTCTGTGGTACCCCGCAAGATAAAGGAAGTGGATCGGAGAAATTGTCATCGACACGAACTACATGGGTACGATGGTGTAGCGAAGTCGCGATCAAGGATGCAGCCTTCGCACGGAAACCATAGCGTTGAAAATTTTTAACCTGCAGTATATATTTTACATAATCGAATGCTTTGGTGAAATCCACGAAGATACCCAAAACCAATTTTCTTTCCTCAAGTGCAGACAGGATGAGTTCCTTCTATGCGGACTCTGCGGTGCGCACTCCCACTTCTACTGTTCATTCAGTTCACCTGCTCAGAAATGACACGTCAGCTGTCGCAGTGTTTCAGCTTACGAGTTGGGTAAGTGCCCTGACTTTTTTCTACTTTCCCCATGATAGCATGCCCTCGCTATTGGGTGCTAACAGAGTGGCATCAGCATAAACAAAAAACAATTGAAGTATCCTGGACCAATCATTCTATATAGTTTCGTTGATCGCGAGCGACCCAGAGATTGTGGCTCAGGAAGCGTCACTGACACGTAGCACACACATAGGCCTGTAGATCGCAAGTTTTGAGCAGCGCTGCAGGCGGGCAAAAATTAATATTTGTAGGTCCCGTTTCGAACATGCGTCATTACGCTTCCCCACTACCGGATTTTTTTTTTTACTTCGTTTTATTATAAGTGCCAGCGTTGCAGAGGCTACAAGAGCGAGCATCGAGCTTTCTGTGTCCCTGTCAAGCACGCGCGCTCGTGCAGTTAAAAGTTAACCGCCCTTCCCTACTAGGTACCTACAAGTACCTAGCCAAGTTTGACGAGAGCTGGATGTGCGATAGCTCCGTGTTTTATTATGGGGTGTTAGCTCGTGTCACCTACTGGCTGTAGCGAATATAATATAAGTGGCTCCATGGAAAGGTTCCCGAAATGGGGGGACCCAAAAATGCGCGCTGCCTGGTTTTCGCGACGCAGCGCGGCATACATTTGAGCTTAAGAAACAATTTTTATTGCTCGTGGTACAAATAATCGGCAAGGTAAAACTAAATTAACCCTTGTTTGGAAATTTTCTAAACATTTGGCTGTATTAAGTGAAGAAAAGCCGCGTTGAAATTTCCTTCCGAGTACGAAAGAGGACGACGAAGTTGAGCCCTAAGAACGGTGAGGAAGAAGTGAGCAGTGAAAGGCGGGCGGTACACCGGCAGCATGGTTGGCCGGCATGTAAGAACTGTATATAACACCATCATAAATTGAAAAAACTGGTAATTCGGCTCCACAGAAAATTTACCTATTAGTAAATTATCCGAACATAGAGAAGAACGCTGGAAGTGTAATTCCACAATCCGCGCGCGCTGGCCTTCCACTTATAAAAGATTTGAAGTAAATAATCATAATAAATCTTTGACGAACGCGCCTGCACGGCAAAATTTGTTTTAGGCCTTTACCTTCAGAACAGTTATTACTGCAGACGCCAGCAGGTGCAGAGCGTGTAACTCCACTCGTAGCATGCACCTCGGTGTTTTTGAAATTTAAGCAAAGGTCTATGGGAACGCTCTCTGCTTTTGTGTGCTATCAATACCCGGCCGATTGAGTCAAGGCAATGCACTTTCCAAAGACGTTGCCATGCCGACAATTATCGCGTTCATTTAGGCTTAGGAATGGCCAGAGTCGAAAGTCTATCTAAAAAATGCGGCGAGGTCATTGCTCATGTTTTGCGTTTTAAGTGAGGTAACGCGAAAACCTCCTGCACCATTCATTGCTGACTAACGCGCCCGCTACTGCAGCTACTACGACGTATTAGTTCGAAAGCGAGCGGCGCTCACTCACCGGGGCACCGCCATGTTTCCCCGCCGTCCTTACTCTACTGGTCACGTGACCCAAAATTCCCCCTCGTAGGGAAATCCGGTTAACCGCGGTTAGTTAACCAGCTTCGAGCAAACGGGCCCTGGAGACCTTGCAACGAAGTGAATTGTGGGGCTGTTCGGATGTACGCTCGGGCGCCTGCTGAAACGCCTCGTACATTCTGGTAGCGGCACGATTCACTCTTTCTTATAGTTACGAGCTCAGAGCACACTGAAATATTCAAGCGAACGCAAAAGGCCATCATATACTCTATTTTGCCTTCATTCAGCCTTCTCTGTGTTCTGAAATCACCAACTGCTCAAACCGACGTCAACTTCGTCCTCGCTTCTTGGATAATTTCACGTGTCGTACATCTGAACGTAACAATGCGTAAAGCAACCACTGGGGGTACCACATATTTCCGGAAAGGTCTATTCTGATACTCAAGCTAAAAGGAATGTTTGATGAGACGATGAGTCAACAAGCTTCACAATTATTTTTTTGCATCTTAGTTTTTTTAGACGCTCTGTTATCGCGCATGTACAAGTGCTGGCAGACGCTTGTATTCGAACGTTACTCGTGCATAATCGGACGTTACAGCGCCGCAATTATGGTTGTATCGCATGGATGGTGCAGCCAGTATTATATGGTCGCGTCTTCCGGACGCGCTCGCGCCCCCTGCTCGAGAGCGACGGGCCTATATACCAATGCCTTGCCGAGGCCGACACGATTGAGACATCGAACAGGACTCAGCGCCGTAAGTAATGGGCTAAACTTCGTGCTTTGCCTGGATTAGGCGACCAGTGCTGCGTTGAGCGGCCGACGACGCAGGCCAAGCAGAAATCCGACGGGTGGGTCTCGGCCTCCACGAAGCACTCCCCGTCGATGAGGCAGCGGCGCTCCTGTTCAAAGCAAAGGGTCCCGTTAGAAGGTGACGCCAAGAACCTGGTCGGAGGATCGCGGTCAATCGAGAACGGAAATTCGAGACGCGCAATCTCAAGCGTGCGAGCCTTCGCGATACGCGAACGTTCCAGAACCTGCGGCCATGACAGAGGGAGACGGCATGGCCATCGCCAGGCCCCTCACCTGGATAGTGCAGTTGGGCCGATCGTCGGCGACACTGCACAGCTCGCACGAAGAGTCGAACACGGTGATCCTCACTGAGTTGCTGAAGTGCACTTTGTCGTTGCTCACCTGTAACGAGCGATGCGTTAGAACGCTCCACGGAAGCGGGCTGCGTTCGTGGCCACACCGCCAGGCGGGCAGGGTTCGGAAACAAATTAACCGCTGGACGCAAGCCCGCCTCGCGCCTCGTGCACTGTGCTCGAGCCAGCCTCTTTTTCGTTTTTTCGCATCTTCTTTTTTTTCTTTTTACTTGCAATATGAACTGTTTTATTGTTTAGAGTTCATCGCGCGACCTTCAAAGCTGAGAATGCGCATGTTCTTCGCTTCGGAAAGCGAGCAAAGCACGCGATATACGAACGAACCTTGAAAATGACACGTGCCAGACTCCCGCTTCTCGAATGGTCTATACTATACTCTGTTTCACCTTACGATGTAGCGCGGGAAAGGCTACAAGCGCGAGCTCCTTGCTCTGGGGCACATCTCGGTGGCACAAGCTCTCGTGACTTAAGAGCGGCTGCCAACGCTATGAGCTCGCGCTTCTAGCCTTCGCTGCGGTACAACATAAGGTGAAACGAAGTATAGTGATCTGCCGAACATTTGTCGAATCGAAAATTCGGCACCAAATCTTGGGATTCGGCGAAGCCGAACTTTTGCCCAACGTTTCTAAAGATTCGACAAAAATGCATTGTGACCCGACTTAAAATTGATATTTAGTTTTTTCCTGGCAAAAAAAAGGTTTTATGTGTTTTTTTTTTCAGGGCTTATTGCAACATGTAATGCATATTGACAGAGTTATTACTGAATAAGGTGATATTATACGAGATAATTGTATCGGTGTCGTTTTTGCGTGTTTTCTGGCAATTTTACAGTGACTTTTTGCAGAAGTGGCGACTGCTACTTCCCAACAAGGTTGGGAAGTAGCAGTCGAAGTCACCAATCACAATGCGAGAGTTTCGGTCTTGAGGCCTCATCAGCGCAAGCCTGCAAGCAACGTTACTAGAACACTCAGTTGGGAAACTCACCGTTAAAACCTGGGCCGCTGCCGTCCACCGAGACCGAGCTAAATACGACAACAGCGCCAATCTTTATCATTTGTCTGTACTGTGGTCACCTTCAGCTTTTAGAAAGCATGTTTTTGCGTAAAAACCAACGAAAAAAAAACTGTTTTTGTAGTAACCTTTATTGGAGTTCAATACAAAATGAAGGGCGCGTGATGTTTTCTAAGAGCTTTAGTTTGCAAGGATTTGCAGCACAATTAATATTGTTTTTTATAAAACCATGCCTCAGCGGTGATTTCAGGTAGCGCGCCCCGAACTAGGTGCACCTTAACTTCGGTAGAAATTCGCGGCGCGTCCGCTGGGGAAACAGGGGAGGCACCCCTGAAACCCCTTCCACTGTATCTGTTTCGGCGCCAAAATGGCCGATTAAAGCCAAAATAGAAGTCCCGTGCAGTTCCTCGTGTGGCCGCTGCGGAAGAAATGGCGGCGTTGTGATCGTCATTAGCTCGGTTCTCGAGTACGGATCGGTGTCACTTTTTCAAGGCAGTTTCTAAGGCAGTTTCCCAACTGAGTGGTTTTAGTAACGTTGCCTGCAAGTGTGTGTACATTAGGCTCGTTCGATTTACCTGCACCTCCTTCACCGGTGCAGAAAAGTGAAGGGTGGCGTACTTCCGGTCGCATTTCAATACGCATACCGGAAGTACACAGCCGTACACTTTTCTGCACCGGTGCAGGAGGTGCAGGTAAATCGAACGAGTCTATGGTTAAAATAAAGGCACAAACACTGCGTCCTTACTTTTTCTGGGAGTCGCTGATTCGTGCGCGAAAACGAATGCAACAGTTGCTGAGCCTTCACCAGAAGAGATCACAATATTATTGTAAATATGCATGTTTTTCGATTTGAGTCACTTGACGTCAGCTTTACATGAATATGTGTGTCCCATATAGACAACGTCTCGTTTTTAACATTTAAAATGTCGGTTTCTGATGTTAGGACGCACACGGACGTTTAGGAAGATGGGAAGAGTTAAGGTATGTTTATACTTTAACGCAAAGTCGACGGGCGCGGTGTAGCGCAGCGCACACTGATACTGATTGGTCGCAGATATCGAGTTCCTGGTCACCAGCCAATAAAAGGCGCGCGTTCTGCGCTACGCTGCGTGCACTGCGCTCGTCGTCGGAGTATGAACAGCCGTTTAGGAATGGCAGATGCGCAACGTCGAGCATGATAGCAGTTCTGTGTTTAGTTTTATGCAGATACATAAAAACCGCCAAATAATGCTAATTGAAAAGCAATATTATTTTGTTTTGGCGCTAACTACTTGTGATGCGAAAACAGGATTGTTATAATTGCGAGGAGTGTTTTAAAGTACTTATCAGTCACTGCTTCAACTACATCGCTGCATATCACTGGAAATGTCAAATTAAAATCACTTTATCGAGAATGTACCGCATCATTTGTCACTAGCGCAGTGAACTGCGTTAATTCCAGATCGATCTTCTGTTCTTCAGTCAGAGAATATTCAAGAGAACTACACTCGCAAAGGCTCACCAACGCACCTTTACCGTGTCGCCTACAACGCACCTCGCTGTAAGCGCGGGTTGTACTACACTGTACGATGTAACCGCACGACCGCATGGCGTCCATTTGTAATCCCTGGCCCCGTCGCGTTCTCGCGTGTGTGCAAACGTTTGCCGAATTTTCGCCTAAACTCTGCCAAATTTTGCTTCAAAAGTTCGGCACGTGCCGAACTTTACCGTATCTGAAGGTCGGCAGATTCGGTCCATCACTAGTCTATACGCCTTTCCAATGTTTACAAAATCAGAGCCCAGCATGCGACCTCCACAGCCTCACACGTTTGTTCGTAGCTTCGGGTGTGTCGGTGTGCTCCCCGAGGCCATCGTGTTCACTCATCCCTCCTCCCATGGCCTCCGAGATCCCGAAGGCGCGCGCTTCGGGATCTCGGAGGCCATGCTCCTCCTCTTCTAACGCCCGTGTGCGCCGCGAGATGGCACTGCCTACGTTGCGAGGGTAGAGTGCCTTCATACACACGCGCGCTTTTGAATCAGACAGACATGTAGGCACCCTATGCGAGGGTATAGAAAGCTGATTTAAGAGTCTATAAAAACAAATCGGGTTGTGTGTATGTTTATACAGCCTAGAACAAGGTCTGCCTCAACGGCTGACGAGTTTCCCAGCTGTTGATGATAAATTTAGCCAGTGCAGTGCAACCGCTAGCCTGGGGGTCTTTAACGCGCATCACGCAGTAGTGATACACGACCTCACGCCGACACGATGCTCATCCAGATCGAAGCGGACAGGGGTGGGGATTGAACCCAAGATCGTGGGTTCTGCAACACGAGCTTTCGCTCCACGTGCTCCGAGCTGATATGCGCTAGCCCACTCGGCCACCAATCTTTTTGTATTTTGTATTTAGTGTTTGATTAGACAATATTAATAATAAATTTTATTTCCCATTCGATACAGGAATGGAGGAATCAGAGGGAAAAGGTTGTTTAACAGCTTGACGGAGCCCCTGCTCCCTTACAGTTCCCCATGACAGATTAAAATACAAAACAACTGCAAAAATATCAACATTGTATACCAAAATGGTTTACAACCTATCGCAGAAAACTAATATATTCAATTAAAATTAGAAAATAAATCTTGCATTGTGACAGACATTGTATCAACGTTTTTGTTTAAGAGGAAATTTAGTAAAGTAGGTAGCATATACTTTAGGGCCTGCATGGAATAGTTGTTATGGCAAAGAGGCACAGCCCAACGTCCCGCCGAGCGAGTTGGATAGGAGATAACATGTTCCCTTAGTTTAAAAAGTTTGGCCAGTATATCCACGTTTCTTTTTTTTTTCCTACCTTTGAGCGGACCATAAGTGTATACGTATACATATCGAAAACGCTCAACAAAATATATTTTTCAAACAAACCCTCGGTGCTTGAAATATAAGAAACATTAGCAATGAAGCGGACACATTTTTTTTGTTTGTAATAGATGTATTTTTTGTAGATTTGAACTGGTAGTTGTACCCCATACCAGGTGGCAGTACTTTAAGTGGGATGTAAATAGAGTTTGATATATAAGTAGTTTAACATTGTTTGGTAAAATAAAATGGTTTCGTGAGACCAATCCAATGACCCTGGACAATCTAGGAAGTATATATATCTTACATGGCCGTCCCAAGACAAATATTGGTTAAAATTTAAAAATGACGCCAAGACTTTTGAAATTCTCCACTATCTCTATAACATTTGAATTTATTAAGAGACATTTAGTTATAAAAACGCTTTTATTTTTGGTTCGAAAGAAAATTGTTTTGGTTTTACTACTTACTAAGATTGAGTCCGCTGTCGGATGTCCAATTTTGCAACCCTCTTAAACTATCAGTTGCGCAGTTGATAAGTTCATCACTAGTCTAAGCCGAAAATAAAAGGGTTGTATCGTCTGCATGTATAACAAATTTAGCAAGAGAATCTGTGTTAACAATATCGTTAATTTAAATGTTGAATAGCAAAGGTGCCAAAGTACTCCCCTGTGGTACACCGGAAAAAACAGACTTTGTATTAGATGGAAAGCCATTTAAATAGACAAACTGCTTACGATTACTCAAATATGACTGAAGCAACGTAAGTGCTTGACCCCGAATTCCATAAAGATAAAGTTCTTTTAGCAATAAATTATGGTTTATATAATCGAAGGCTTTTGTAAAATCAATAAATACGGCTAAAGCTATCTGGTTTGCCTCAAAACTCTCTCAAATATTTTTTTTGTTCTAGTAATGCTACATTTGTCGAACGATGCTTCATGAACTCAAATTTATTATTAGTAATTACACGATACTTATTAAAAAAAATTGACAGACGAATGTGAATAAGGTTTTCTAAGCCCTTAGAGAAAACCGGCAAGATAGAGATAGGTCTATAATTTTTTATGTCGTTATTGTCTCCCTTTTTATAAAGCACAGAGACTCTAGATATTTGCATTAGCTGCGGAAACACTCCAGTTGAAAAACATAAATTAAAAATGTAAGTAAGGAAGGGAGTGGTCAGTGG